GACCGCCCCGCCTGCTGCCTCCTCAGCTGTGACCTCTCTCAAGGCATCTTGGAATGAGATATCTTCCTTTGCAAAGAGTCTCTGTTGCAAGTCTCTGTTCCTTAAACTGCATACAAAATGGTCTCTCAGCCTTTCTTCTATGTCTTTAAATTCACAGGGCTTGGCTGCTCTTCTCAAGACTGCAGTGAATTCTTTGGCTAATTCACCTGCTCTCTGATCCCTCTGTTCAAACGTGTGTCTCCACGCAGTGACAGACAGCTTGGGCTGAAAATGTTCCTTTAATAACTTCTTTAAGTCTGTATACGTGACAGACTCTAGAGGAGCAGGGGCTGCCAAATTTTCTGCAATTTCAAACACATCTTGACCACAGACACAGAGCAAAGTTGCAGCCTTCAAGCCATCTTCTCTAACTTGATTCACTCTAAAGTAATTTTCTACTCTAGCGACATAAGACTCCCATCTTTTGGGGTGAGCAACGTCGAATTCGGACAACCGCCCTATCTTCGCCATCCTTACTTCTATTTTTAGGAAGGGGTCTATCAGCCAGCTTACCTCCAGCGACGCTGTACTGGCAGGCCAGATGCTGAATTTAACGCCGTCTCCTTTTTCTCAAGGACTCCTTGGGTAAGTCTTACAAGTCTTCTTCTTTCAGCTTGCAAGCCATCCCATCTTCGTCGCCACTGTTAAGTCCTCAAGTTAATGGCGAAAGAAGAGCACACATTCTGGAGCCAACAACTGCTTTATTCTTCTTCTGCTCACTTCAACACAACTCTGAGGCTCGCAGGCCTCTCTCACACTAAATAGAATCCCTGGGCAAAAAGGTTACAAGAGATGGCGTGCTTTCGCGCCTTGCGCATGTGCGCAGGCTGGTGCCACTTAGTCTGGTCCCGGGCAGCTTGCAACAGCCCAGAACCATAGCAACGTCCCGAGCCTGCTTTTGCAGGCTCAGGACACAACACAAACCAAGAGTCATTGTTGAGGATCCTATATCATGGAACAATTGAAGGCAATCAGAAAAGAAGCTGACAAGGAATAAGATGGGCAAATATTATCACTGATATCAGAAGGACGAGCTGACAAGAACTCATAGAAGCAGTTATCAATAGATAATGCTGGTGTAGTAAACATGACTACAAAATATCTTAATTACCTTAACAATGTCAGTATCATGCCTAGAATGTTTTATAAATAGGCACTGTGAATGCTATCTATAATCATCCATCCATCATCCATTATCCATCCATCTATCTATCTATCTATCTATCTATCTATCTATCTATCTATCTATCTATCTATCATCTGCATTTGATATCTTTCTGATTTCTGTTTATTGCATTCCAATATTCTGTCTACATTATCTCATAATTCTATCTCTTCCTATGCCTGTTAAGTTATACATTTATGATAGGAGTGGATAAAGTGCAGCTTCTTTAACAGCCATGTTTTGGGGGGTTTTCTCAGAGGCCAGAAAGGCAACCAAAATATGACAGAAAATCTCTGAAAACTGAGGCATGATTTCCTAGGATTTCTGCTACGAAATAAAATTTTAAATTTTGACTGTTTGCAGGACTCAGTCAGCCCCCAGATTCTAGCCTTGCCAATTTATCTCCCACCATTTTAATCCCAACCCACTCACCATTTAACCTCACCTGCAAAAGTGTGGTTGCTTAAGCCAAAAGGCTGCCTGACCATGATTTGTGCTATAATAAATAGGTAGAGTGCTATAAGGTTCTTACTGCATGTTAAGAAACAATATATTTGACACTGGCAATCCCAAATATATTCCATGAATTTTCAGTAATTAGTTTTTAGCTATTGCTTTGAGAACCCTAACAATACCAGACACATCTTATACATGCTTTAAAATGCCAGAGTATACCAGTGAGTTGACAACTGCAAAATATACAGTATAATCACTGTAACTAAATATGTTCAAAAATCTGTTTAAGGCTGCAATCTGATAATTGCTGAACTAAGTTGTCTCCCATTTTTATTTCTTGTAGGTAGTGAGTGAAAAACAAGGATTACCTTCACATAACTGTTGCATCATTTTTTTAAAAAAATGTCACACAGAGTCTAGATATATTCATGTTATAGCAATAGAAATGAAACCTGTTAAAAATAGTTTGTATGGAATCTTCCTTCCCCTCCCCATTGTCTGCCATGGGATTTTAAACCCAAAATAGTGTCTGGGTTGTGTTTCTCCCAAATAAAGTGTTCCTTTTATCCCCTGCCCTTCAACTCACATTTTATGGCTGCTGTTGCCCCTTGCAGAGGATGCACTAGAGGCTTTGTGATGCAAGTCCCATTGCTTACATCTCTGTCCCAGAGTCCTAGGAAGGTCTTTGTTGAGGTCACCATGGTAACATAAGAAAACGGAGGGGAACCAATGAAATCTGTAGCAAGGAAGGAGACTGCAAGAACCCTATTTAGAAGGGATTTAGGCCCCTCCTGGAAAGCAGAACCCACAGGAGGAATTAAAATCTTGAGCTGTTAGGCTGATTGAACCATTGGTAAGTAAATGACACTGGTGAATTATTAGTTCTTGCTCATATGTCTATGGAGATTCTCAGTCATCCAGGTCATAGTTATCCCAAAGATGCTTTTTCATGAGGCAACTGGACTTTCTTGTTTTTCTTTGATGACGTTTTGCTTCTCATCCAAGAAGCTTCTTCAGCTCTGACTGGATGATCAGACACCTATTCATGGAGTTTAGAGACAATCATTCGCTTCATTTGGGATCCCTCAAGACCCAGGTTTGCATGCAGTGGGCATGCAGTGCCCTCGGCTTCATATATGATGAAATGATGCCATGAGCATTAAAAAGATGTGACTGCTGGACCTGTGGGCTCATTCACATGTATGGAGTTTGACCAAATGCATGGTAAACGTGAATGTCTTAATCCAGTCAGAAGAGAAATCCTAGAAAAGAAAGAGTCTTTCATATGTTAATGTGTGTATAACTATTTTAGTAAAGTTTAATAATGTATTAAAGGTATGGTAAGTACTGCAAGAATTTTTATACTATATAAACCATTTTAAAAAGTAATATATGGGTTTATTTATAAATATTTGGAATGAGGTAAAATTTATCCAGTCAGGGATTCCAAAGAATTTCAAAAGGATCTCTCTAGGTATGATTGATACATTTTGATACAGAAGATCCAGCCTTCCCATTCATTAATGGGATCTGTGTGGCTATGATTGATCAGGAAGGGGATCTTGGAATGACAGTGGATATATTTCAAAACAAAAACATCAACGTAAGTTGTAGCTGTTCTAAAAATGGAAAATTCCATGCTTGGAATTGATACATGAAGCATGGAAAATAATAAAGTCAAGATAGCAATAACATTGTAAAAATCTACGGTGCGGCAATATTTGGAGTATGGTTTCTGTTCCAATCACCCAGAGTGATGGAAAAAGTATAAAGCACGGCAACAAAAATAATGAACATATTTCCTTGTGAGGCCTGAGGCTTTTTAACTTGAAGGAAAGGTAGGCAAATGAGGCACAATACAAATGTGTAACACATGACTGATGGATTGAGGGCTATCAAGTTGGTATTGATTCCTCCCATTCAAACCAAGGACTAAAGGTGTCTGTGGGTTCACAAAGGGTAGGAAGAAGGTAACAGAATAGTACAAAAAAGAAAGTGTTAAACTATCTTTCTCAGAATAACAGGAGCATCTCAAGGCTATTAAAATGGGATTCTTCCTATTTACATGGGATGGGATTTTTCAGTTACATCCAGTACTTTTTTTGTAAAAAAAAAAAAAAAAAGTGCCGGAACTCACACGTCATACAACCCGCCTTGCCTACCCTACAAGGTTCCATCCAAAAACGGTGCTGGAACTCCGTTCTGGGCGTTCTATGAGAAAAAAAGCCCTGGTTAAATCATTTTTGCTTAATCAAGGCTGGTTTAAGAACAAGCTTGGAAAACTTGGCTGGATTCCCCAAGGCAAATAGTTTTGCTGAGCTTGCAGGTCAACATGTCATACTGATAAAGCAGCCAAGGTAACACATTATTGAGAGTTAGTTGTTCAAAACAGGGGTTTAAGTCTGCAGCCAATGTGCAAATTTAAAGACAACAGCCTAAATTGATTTTTAAAAATGAATTATTCCTACACCTTATTTAACTCTTTTCTCATCAGTCCATAAAATGAATGCTGTGCCAATATCACATATAGTGTTTTACCATTTCTCCCTATTGTCCAGTTTAGGCTCTACCCCTTCTATATTCAGATATTCTATTAGATGCACTCACATAACATGCTGCTGCCCACTTTGCTTGTCAAAGTGAATATATGTGCTGTTATCCTGTTCCTCTCTCATGTGGCTCCTTAACTTAAAATGGGTTTATTGTGGTTAAAGAGGTTGTCCAGACTCAGATTAGATCAGGAGTAGGCAACCTTGGCTCTTTTATGACTCGTGGACTTCAACTCCCAGAATTCCTGAGCCAACACAGCTCCCTTCTGGGAGTTGAAGTCCACGAGTCATAAAAGAGCCAAGGTTGCCTACTCCTGGACTAGGTCAATTAAATGTGCAAACCACAGTGTTACAATGTTTCCCATATTATCAAATTATCACAATTTACTGCCTCTTCCTCCTCCTCTAAATTGCCACCAAACTTCCCTATCTGCATTTTATTGCAATCTCCTAGAACTCGCTCCTTCTAATTCTATATTCGACCATTTTCAATCTGGCTTCTACTTCAGTACTTCATTAAAACTTACGCAAGTGCTGCAATGTTACTAAAAAGTTCTCCTTTGGATACACACTTCTCTTTTCCCATCAATAGAGTTGATAACTCTGTTGCACAATTTTTCTTTTTTTTGCCCTGGAGCATCTGTTCTTAATCCGATGCCTTCCAGTTTTGTTAGAGGACAACTTCCAGAATTCCTAGACACCCTGGTTGTTGACTTGTTGCATCTATAAGGTCCAGGATAGAAAAAGCCGTTCTAGAATTTCTGGAACTGTAATCTCAGTTTATTACTCACAGATTGAATTGACTATTCTGTAGGAGGAATCCCTTTGCTTCTCTTTTACTCTCCACATATTGCCTTTCATCTCTGTTTCTCATGGTGTTCAATATGACTTGTTTTCAATAGTTTCTAAAAATTTCTAGAACTTTTTGTGTTTCCTTTTAAGAATCCTTTCCTTTATGTTTCTTTGTGTTTTTTTTTCATCCTGCAAAAAATCTATGGCCTTGAGTGGCTTGGGTTTTTCATTTTCCCTATCCTCTGATCAATCTATTACTAGATTATATTATTCCTGCCTTTGCACACTTACAAAACGAAAGAGAAATGAACATTTTGTGAGAAATGAACAGAGTAGGGTCAAAAAATTCCCATGCTTTTAGATGCGAGTTTGATGGAACGGCTAAGATGAAGGTCTTGAAACAAAGAGGCTGTGAATTCTAGTCCTATGGAAGCCGTCATCTTCAGCCCAATCTACTTCACAGGGTTGTTGTGGGGAAAACAGAGAAGGCAACACAATGTACTCTGCCTTGACTGGTACAAAATGAAAACATCTAATAAATAAATAAAAAATTCAGTTAAAATTTCATTATAGAAGGTGCCAGTTTGGCCTAGCAGTTAAGGCACCAGGCTAGAAATCAGAAGACTGGGTTCTAATTCTGCCTTAGGTATGAAAGCCAGATGGGTGACCCTGGGCCAGTTACTTTGTCTCAGCCCAACCCATCTCACAAACCTAGGAGGAGGGAGAAATATTAGATATGTTTGCCACCTTGCATTGTTCACAAAAATAATAAAGGTGGTATATACATACATGTACACATATGTATATAAACCTTCCTCAGCATAACTTGCAATGTTTGTAGACTATGCAAAAAAACCTGTGTGCCACTCATTTCATATTTGCTTGAAATTAGATCCTGTCAGTGCAGAAACAGCCTAATTTCAAGCAGCAACTTCAGTCATCTAGCCATGCATAGATTTATTGGTTTGTAAATTTTTTTTCTTGCCATCTTTTCCTTTGCTATGGAATTTGCTACATGCTACCGTGTGGTCTTGGTTGATCTTGAAAAAAGTTAATGAGGGTCAGATCCAGGTAGCACTTTGAAAAGAGATCACCAAAGGGTTTGTGTTATACTGAGAAACTGAAAAGAAAAAAATGTAGGAAGAAGGGGATGGTAGGGTGTCCATTGGGGCGGGGTATCTGTGTGTGTCAAAAAAGTCAAGATGATGGTTGCCACAGTGTGATTGAAAACCTCTGTATGCATATTGTTATGCACATTAGCAAGGAGCAGAGCTTCAATCCCATTATTGCAACCACCTCCCATAAATGCCCTAGGGTGATGGCAAACTTATTTCCGGAGCTTCAATAACTGCTAAGGATACCATATGGACTATGTCCAGATACTTAATTAGATTTGGGACTTTATTCAAGATATTTTTTACCTTTCATTCTTCTTGTATATGTGGTCTGTAAATGTCCAAATACAGTACGGTATACCAGGAAAAGGAAAGAGTTTCATTTTGAAATGGCAGCACAAATTGCTGGTTCAGGTTTAAATTAATTTTCATGCCGTGCTATATGGTTCAACAATGATCTCCTTAATAAACCACAGTTGGATGGGTTCCCAGAAGAAAACCACAATGTGTGAGTTCATGTATCATCTAAGCCAAAGTCAAACAACCAAGTTATGGCTTAATACAAGGTAATCCTACACATTTCAGAAATTGCCCATTAGAATATGTTAGGTTGTTTCCCAAAATTTGTATGGGTAAAGATAATCCCCAAGACTCCTACATCATGTCCTTATTCTTCTTTTATTTAGTATTTTATGATCTTTATCTTCTTAGCTGAACTAAGGCATGTTGATCTAATGCTAAGGTTTAACTTTGCTTCTTTATACTTCTCCTTTAATCTTAGAAAATACAACAAAGCATATTTGCAGCAGGTTGTCATTTGCTTCACATTTGACTTGAATACTACTTTATCCCCTTTTGTGTTTACGACAATGGAGCATTAATCGTTCCTTTAATGATCACAGATTTTCACATTAATAATTTGAGTTGGTTACGCAGTGCTAGGAAGCCAATGCAATCTTAATGGGGAATCTTAACTCTTGGGTGTAGGACTATTGTTATTTATTTAAATAAGAAAAATGTGATGTTGGATTTGTAGGAGGTGAGGAATTGCAGAACACTTGTACAGCACACATTCTTCATCTCTTCTATATAATGAGCCAAGAAAGCTGGCATTTAGCCTCCTAAAAATATCAGTGTTGTTTTCTTTTTTCCTTGTTGCAAATAAATGCTAGAGAGTGTGGAAGCAGATCTGCACGTTCTATTCCAAACACAACACCAAAAGAGGCAATATCTTTATAAGCCAATTGGTTCTGTAGAAAATTGCTGCAAGCTTTCAAGTTTCAAGAACTCTTCATCAGGCAAAGAGAGAGAGACAGTGGGAGGAAATGCCAGATTGCATTCTTAAATAAATTGATGCCGAGTCTTCAGATACACAAATTAAACTGCATTATTCACAGATCTGGAGACCACTAAGTTGGGGGCAGCCATTGTTTTTGCTTGGAATTCAGAATGTCTTTCTTACATGTACACAAACACATATGCACACACAAGCACCCCATTCTTTTTATTATTATTATTATTATTATTACTATTATTAGTTTTCTATCATTATACTTCATTAGTGCTTGATAAACATCGTATTATCTGGGTTACTTTTTGTTTTGCTTAGTAATACAAATTATATTCCTAGTCTCTACACCGTTTTTCCAGCCACGGATAAAATAAATTCCATGTCTGAAAATATTCTGAATCTTCTTTCTCTTTCATCCTCAGCGTGAGTCTGTCCATTTCAACACAGTCCAGTATCTTCTTAATTATCTCTTCATCTGATGGTGTTTCTTCCTTCTTCCAGTGCTGAGCAAACACAATCCTTGCTACTAGAAGCATCCCATTCTAAGGCATTATTTGGACACTCTTTCCCATAGGCTGAAGGATAAATAGAAATTAAAATAATTAAGAAATATCTAGGATTGCACTGCTTATTCATCCGTACACTATTCAGACCACAATAGCTGGGTCCACACATTCGCTAGCTTTGCTTATGCAACAGACTAAGTCCAAACAACATAAACCACTTTATGGCTTAATGTGTTGTTCTAGTCATTATTCACTAGGGATATTCACTATTCCCTGTAGTTAGACAATACAGCTTTTTTTTTAAAATAGTAAGATAGAAAACTCTTATTGCAGTCCAACGATTTCAGTTTCACTCTGGCTACCATCCACTTCCCATGATTCTATTTAATTTCAGTAATAGCAATTAAGATGATGTGTAATAGGCTTATATTTCTCTTTGACTCTTAGGAATTTATCCCTGGAGAAAGAGTGATGTGTTTTGTTCCTTTTTAACATTATCCAGACATTTTGCTATCTTATGACTGCAGAGGAGACAACACTCAGTGCTTTTCATGTAAGTAAAGCTATTTTATTCCCCCACCCCTGTCCCCACCCGATATAAATAAAATTTATGAATTGCTTATAACAGTAATTTTGTCTTAGCTGGAAATTAAATGAACAGCAACATTACTCTTTCCTTCCATATATTTTAATTGTGCAAATAGCACACAACGTGTGGAGTGCTATTTAGAAAATGAGAACACAAAATCCAAGTTTCACATCATATTTTGATTCAGTTTTTTTTATGGTAAGCTAAAATGAGTTTGCTGGATATTTTTTAAAATGCCTTCATTAGACATATGTAGGCATTTATTTGTGTGCAATGCTTTGGGTTTTGATGCAGAATTTTTTTAAAAAAGGCTGCCCTGCTTGGATAAAATAAGTCAAAACAAATTGTAATGAAAAATGTGTTTTCCAATCAAAAGTCTGTACTGTTCAACCTGCGTCATGCACAGATGTGTTCTTTCCTCCTTGATGCCTGACTTTTAGAGTTCCTAATTACACTTTTGCTTAGTCTTCTGACATATACAATATAAATCTTTAAACAATTACAGTATCTTTTTAATATGTTATGCCATTATAACATATTGTTTCACACTCCATTTGAAAGAACCTTGCACTGGTCAGTTTCTTCTATTGGGGATGTTTTGGGAGAGTTGTTCTAGTTGTGTAACTGGTTTTGATAGATGGTATAGAAAGGTGTTTCTAATACACTTTACTTTGTCAGTTATGTTCTGCATTCTGTTAATGATTTTCTAGAATTCTCAATTCTGATGTTACATTTGTACTAATAACATTACAAAAACATCCAGCGAGGTGTGGTAGTTAGAGCTGAATTAGGAGTCAGGAGACCCAGCTTTTAGTCCACTCTTGGATACAGGAGCCAACTTGGTGACTTTGGGCCAATTAACACCCTCATAATCCTAACAAAATCGGGTTTTGCAATAAGCCAGCAAATCAGTCAACCCCTCAGTGCAGCATGTATAGATAGCGACACTGTGAAAACTAGATGAGCACAGTACAAAAACAAGCACAGTAGACCCAGCAACCATGTGGGACACATGCTAAGGAAAATAATATAAGTAACCAACACTTTCACATCAGTGGAATTCTCTGGTTAATTCTGGTGGCTGAGACATTAGAACAAAATTCTAATGTCCAGTGGGAAAAGATATAGATATAGAATTAAACTTATTAGGTCTGCTGGTCTAGTCCAGGGGTCTACAAACTTAGCAACTTTAAGATGCACAGTACAGGCATGAAAAGTCACAGCTGAAATTATGGAATTTGTTTCTTTTAGCAACCATAGTTACAGCTTGTCAGGAAGTTGTCTAAGGACTGATATGTATTGACAATGGCTAAGGGATCATTTCACATTGTGTAGCAGATAGAAATGGTAAACTACTTTTTATTTATTTAATTTTTACATTTTTTGAACTGCCCATCTCCCTCAGAGATTACAAATAGTCCTCAACTTACAACTGTTCATTTAGTGGTTCAAAATTACAACATCATTGAAAAAAGTGACTTATGACTATTTTTCACACTTACGACTGTTGCAACATCCCCATGGTCACATGATCAAAATTCAGACAGTTGGCTATTGACTCATATTTATGACGGTTGCAGT